TAAGCCGTTCAATAAACTCGCAGATCATGTTTTATCGGGTCTAAAACCACTCGGCTACGCCTCGTGTTTTATACCCGATAAAACACTCTTGCTCGTTTATTAAACAGTGCATATCATCAGCATTGCCATTATTGTGTATCATCTTCATCATCATGCATCATCATCATCATTATCTGATCATCCTGGATCATTATTATTTTGCATCATCATCTTCATTCTATACATATATCATCAGCATTGCCATTATTGTGTGTCATCATCTTCATCATGCATCATCATTATCATTATTATTATTATTATCGTCCGGAATAACCTTGTTCCCAAGCACTATAACTTATCTATATTTCTATATCTTCATGTATTATCATTATCATGAATCATCATCATCCCCATCACCTAATTCATTTAACACAACAGTAGTGAGGTGAGTGTATTACTGCTTCAGCAACCATGCAAACCCTAATACATTGCCTGCATGATAGCCTTATATACTACTATGAACAGAATCCACTTCTTTTTTCAGTTAAACAAACAAAGGCCTTACTTTACTCATGAGGCATCATTAATGTGACTAGCAAAGTCTGCAATGCATTCTGGTAGTTGTAGTAAAATAATGCCACATATAACACAGCTATACTTCTGTACTTACAATATCAAGAGGAACAAGAGTCTGAAGAAGGTGAACAAGGAACATTGTTAAATTAACAACTGTTATTCTGTGAGTAGACAGACTATGTTCCTCTCTAACACCATGCCCTTGATATCCACTCTCTTGAATGTGATGTACCAACACTTCACCAAGAAGCTTCAGACTAGAGACGACATTAGATGCCTGGGAGAAATATAAATAATAACAATAAAACGTGTGACCCATTGAGGGTAATTACCATATTGATAGAAGCAATTTGGAGGCATAATACTAATCTACTAACGGTTCATACTCATGATTGTAAGCTGCACAGCTGCTAATAGCACCTTAATACGCAGCCCGTAAAGTCCTCCACTGGTCATATTTGTAAAAGCGCCTTGAGACCATGTGAAATGCGTTATATAAGAACCCCATTATTATTATTATTTTAATAATAAAAATATTAAAATAGCAGATATCAGGAAATTTCTCAGATCTTTGGGTTTTTTGCCCCCTTGGTGACCCAAAATGCCTCACAATTCAAGATGGCTACCGCATTGTTGAAACTTGTAGTCCATTCCTTGAAGGCATTAGAGTAAAACT